ATATGTGGTATATATAACGATTCTTGATAATTACCAATTACTTCTACACTCCACCCTTGTATATTTGTTGTGTTACTGTTAATCCATTGACGCTGTTTTGATGTTTCATTCATTCCTTTTATTAAGGTATTACAATATTTATTTTTTAGTTTTCTCTTAAAAATTAATCAAGTTTCTGTTTTAGGGTTTTTCTTTTAGCTCTTTTTGAACTAATTCGTTGAAAAAGTCATTTCAAAAAGATATCTCATGATTATAAGTAACTCTCGTTTGCTTATGACTTAACATACTTTTATTTTTAGTGTTACTCAAGTTCTCTTCTTTTGTTTTACTTTAAATTTAAAAATTTAATTTATTCTTTCAAATTTTTTTATTTAAATCTTTCATTTTTAATTATTTTCGTAGAACATTAATTAAAAAATTTAACCATTAATGAGTTAACTTTGTTATTTACTTTCTGAGCTAAATTGGTGAACAAATTCAATATGAAAAATAGAGAAATAGTTATCAAATTAAATAACTAACAAAGGTAAAAATTTTTAGATATGATGAAATAAAAAGAAGTATCTCATTATATTGATGACTGATACACTCTTTACACATTAATTTTTAAATATAATTTTTGTTGTTACGCTACTATAGAGTTATTTAAGTGATAAATTGTTATATATTATTTTATCATTTAATTTATAGAAACATTGAAATATGATGAGTCATTATAAATAATTTTAAACAAATATTATTCACATTAATGTATAATTAATAGAAACAACGTTAACTAAAAGGATATTAACAATTAATTTCAAGTATTAATAAATAATCATTTGAATAATTTTATTAAGTCTTGTTTCTATTATATTACACGATTTAAAGAAATTTTGTTATAGTAATATTAGAATATGATATTGGAATTTATTATATTAAATATTAAATATATTTGAATATATTTGTAAGAATTATCTACTATCTTCTATAATAACTGATTTAATATAGTGAATATGTTGATAATGTTTTTGATTATTTCTAAATATCTGAATCATTATGTTAGATTTTTATCCAAGTTGTATTAATTTTTAAATATATTTTAGTTCATTATTATCTTGATAATTTATAAATCTTTAATATATCATTTATTAGCAGACATGAATTATTGATACAGATATACTCTTATCTGAAATGATAAATTATAATCATTTTAATTTATTTATTTGATTATTTATTATCTCTTCTTCATTTATATTGTATTTTTCATTTTATTTTATTTACACTTCACTTCTTTTAATTATTATTATCATTTATATTTCATTATGTATTTTAATTATTATATTTTTTATATCATTTTATTTTTGTTTATTGTTTTGTTCTATTTTATATTTTGTTTATTATAGCATTTTGATTTTTAAGGTTATTATCTTTTATTTTCTTATTTTTGTGTTTATTTCTTATTTTATAGTGTTATGTTTATTTACAAGAACGATGAGAACTCAAACAGATAAATAAGAAGAGATTTTAGTAACAAGACTAATGTTGATCAATAGAA